GCTTTAAAACTGTTTTTAAATATTCAAGTCACAATGATTCTTTTCTAATAAATCTTTCTGACAATTCTTATATAAATATCCATTCTGCTTAACTAATTCTCTGATTAAAAGTTTTCAGGTTTGTCAGTGAAATATTATATCCTCTATACCTTCACAATGTCTGGCAGTACTTTAATTGATTATTGTATATATACATTGTATAAAATATATATAGGATAGAATATATATAGAAATACTTATGTAGTTCATTGAGTATTTTATGTATATACAGTAATACTAGTCATAGTAATTACTATTCTATTTTTTTAAACACTTATGCTCTATATTCAAATTCATGTTAAGAAATAGCTAAATACATTTTTTTAATTCCAAGTTGTAATTGCCAAGTTTTTCTTGTAAGGTGACTAACTTGAAGTTATTTTTTTTTAAATTAACTATATTCTCATTCACACAAATACATGTTAGTACTTACAAATGTGAGTATTTTAAAATTTAACTTTTTTCACTAATAACATGTAAAATCATTGAAAATGGCCTATCTAAATAAAATATTAAGCCTAAAAGAAAAGTTTGTGGGAAAATAGAATTAAAAGATAATATAAACCTTTCCACGAACTTTTTGAAGATCCCTCGTGCATGTGTGTGTGTGTGTGTGTGTGTGTGTGTGAATGTGTTAGGAAATATACAGAAAATGTTCCTCTCTTTTCTCAGAATTATTTTTGTGACAGTTTTTTTTATTGAAAAGTAATTGATTATACATATTTGTGGGGTACAGAATTGAATATCAATACATGTTTACAATATGTGGTGATCAAATCAGGATAATTAGTAAACCCATGTTTACAAAACATAATCAATCTTTGTGACCCTTTAATTTCTTGCTAACTTCCCTCCTCCACCCTCTTCCCCACCTCTAATAACCTCTAATAAAAGAGAACAATTCTGTTCTCTCTTTTTTTTTTTTTTTTGGAAGTTCAAAGTATTATTGCGATTGCTTCTTTCTTTCTTACTTTCCTTTTTGTTTTCTTTCTTTATCTCACGCTTATGAGGACATGTAGCATTTCTCTTTCTGTGCCTGCCTTACTTCAATTAACATAATTTTGTCTAAGTTCATCCATGGTGCTGTGAACAGCAGAACTTCATTCTTTTTTATGGCTGAGTAGTATTCCATAGAGTATATATGCCACATTTTCCTTATCCAGTCATCTGTTGATGGACATTTAGGCTGATTTCAACTTTTGGCTACTGTAAATAGAGCTGCAATAAACACAGGAGTGCAGATAATCCTTTGACATGATCTCCATTCCTTTGGGTATATACACAGCAGTGTGATTGCTGGATCATATGGTGGTTCTATATGTTGTCGTTTCAGGAATCTCCACACTGTTTTCCATAATGTCTGCACTAATTTACAGTCCCACAATAGTGTAGGAGATTTCTGCTTTCTCCACATCCTCACCAGCATTTGCCATTCTCTGTCTTTTTGATAATAGCCGCTCTAACTGAGGTGAGATGATATCTTGGTGTGGTTTTGATTTGCATTTCCCTGATACTGAGTGATGTTGAGCATTTTTTCATGTACCTGTTGGCCATTTGTATGCCTTCGTATGAGAAATGTCTATTCAGAACTGATAGCTATTAATGAACACGAGGGTGATATAAACATTCAACCCAAACCTCTGAGCTTTTCCCTTTATTTTGTCTTCAGGCATCTCTGTTACTTCCTCTCTTTCTCTTATTTGACGGGTCTTTTTTACACTTATCCATCTATGACTTTTTTATTCTCTGCCTATTTCTCATCCTCCCTCCTGTGCTATTTTCATCCACCGAAACTTCCCTTTCCATTTCTCTTGTTCCTTTTATCCTCTAGATAGCTTCTTCTCCCCTCCTCTCAATAGCTTATTCTTTCTTTTGAAAACATTTCTTAAAATATTCTACAGGAGACAAAAATTAAATCAGTCTATGAGCAGGAGACGGAGGCCAGCTCTTCCCCTGCACTTCATGGAGTGCTCTGCACCATTTCTCTCACTGTGGTGCCACTTGTTTCTATTCACTCTTCATAATTCACTGAGCCCAATTCTATTACACAATGGAAACTTTTCTCTCTAAAACCACTAACAGTCTGTTAATGTTCACACTTAGTGATCTCAGTTCACTCCTTGTCCTACTAGAACATTGATTTTGGCATTAGGCACAGTACTTCACTTTGTCACTCTTAATGCCTTTCCTGTCTTCTTGTCCAAAACACTTGGCTTCCCAGTTTCTCTCCTGCTTTTTTCCTTGACCACTCTGCTCAGTATCCTTTTCAAGTGTCTCCCTTGACTCTCTTTTAGACATTCAAGGCTACGGGTTGCATAGGAAAATAGCTTATTTAATAAAACTCGGCTCTAACATAGAAATGCCAGGAAACTTGGAGAATTCAGCTTGAAAAAACTGCAGGAACGGAGGAAGCAAGGCTGCCAGTCAACAGCCACAATTATTTTCCAACACTAGCTTAATGAGGGTGGCTGTTACTGCTGTGCAACTTCTGATGACACTGCTCACACTATCAATGCCATTGTCAGAGACGCAGGGTGCATGTGCTGAAATCTTTATAATTTTTGTCTTGGCTGCTTTTGCACTAAAATTTTGTTTTGTCCATGTACATTTGTCTCCATCTGTCCATATCCAAATCTATATTAGGTGGATTTGATTGGACAAATCTAGGGGACTATCTCTGTATGCCACCAAGACTCATGTAGTCTTGTAATCATGAGTCATGTAGATTCATGTAGAAAAGAGGATCAGGCATTGGGAATCTAATAAATTACATCTATCCCCTGTATAACTTCTTTAATGTAACTTCAAGTTTTCCTCTTCCTCTTCTTCTCTTTTCTTTGTGTACTCTCCAATAGATAAGTAAGCTATAACTACATTCTCAACTACCCCAATGACTCACAAGTCATTATTTCTATTACTCTAGTAGAATCATATTACTAAGTACATCTCACCTAGATGTCTGGAGAATGCTCACACTACAAACTTATCAGTGCATCCAAGTTTTCAAACTCAATTTTGGATAAGAATATACCTAGTCAGACACTTGTTTCTTCTATTACTCTGGAGTGGGCTACGAAGGAAAGACTTCCTCCTCTATTTGTAGGCTCTTCTGGTGACTTTTCTTGTATCAGTGCAGTTGAGTATGCATTGGGATGCCTCAGCTCCTGTTTGGATGGTGTGCAGGCCACTTCAGGGCTTGGGTATGCATGGGTGGGCCCACGGCTGCATTGGGGGTCAGCTGTGTGAGAAAAGGAATACTCTTCTACACTGTTGGTGGGACTGTAAATTAGTACAGCCATCATGGAAAACAGTATGGAGGTTCCTCAAACAACTACAGATACAACTACCAGATGACCCAGCAATCCCACTACTGGATATATATCCAAACTATGGAAATCATCATGTCGAAGTGATACTTGCCCTACCACGTTCATTGTACTCTATTTACAGTAGCCCAAATATGGAGCCAACCTAAGTGTCCATCAACAGATGACTAGACAGGGAAAATGTGGTATATTCCATATACACAATGGAATTCTACTCAGCCATAAAAAAGAATGAAATTCTGTCATTTGCAGCAACATGGGTGAGTCTGGAGAAAATTATGTTAGGTGAAATAAGCCAGACAAGGAAAGAGAAAATTGCATGTTCTTACTTATAACTAGGTGCTAAGAAAGAAAGAGGAGAGTCAGAAAGAAAGAAAAAGAAAGAAAGGAAGGGAGGGAAGGAGGGAGGGAGGGTAGAGGGAGGGAGGAAGGGAGGGAGAGGGGGGAAGAGAGAGAAAGAAAGAAAGAAAGAAAGAAAGAAAGAAAGAAAGAAAGAAAGAAAGAACCACAACAATATGTTGAACTTTCAGAAGGAGAGAACAAACCTAAGGATACTAGAGATGAGGGGATGGGACAGAGGCAGTTTGGGCAGTGATAAGTCAGGTAAAGGGCATAAAGAAAAATTATGATTTGTAATAATGAATATGCTAATAATAAAAAAAGGAAAAAAATTTTAAAAACCTATAAATGATACCTTACAAAGAAAAAATAAATAAATAAAAGAATATACCTAGTCACCAAGTGACTCCTCTTTTCTTCACTGACTACTATTTTCACACAGAATATGTGACTAAGTCATAGTGACTCGACATTCTGAATGCTTTAGAATCTACTTCTTCATCCTCCTTCTCATTCCCAACATCTTATCACACATGAAATAGCACTTTACCTGCATTTTAATAATTTTTAAAAAGCGGATTATTTTATTGCATTATTAAAATTGAAATAAGTGCATTTATTTCAATTTTTTCAATTCCCTGAAATTAAATAAAAGAATATACCTAGGCACTAAGTGATTCCTCTTTTCTTCACTGACCACTATTTTCACACAGAATATGTGACTAAGTCATAGTGACTCGACATTCTGAATGCTTTAGAATCTACTTCTTCATCCTCCTTCTCATTCCCAACATCTTATCACACATGAAGTAGCACTTTGCCTGCATTTTAATCATTTTTAAAAAGCAGATTATTTTATTTCATTATTAAAATTGAAATAAGTGCATTTATTTGTTTTTTCAATTCCCTGAAACAGTTTCCATCTATTACAGTAATACAAAATAAAATTAAAATGGTACTCTAGTAAGAGTATGGTTTTATATCAGCCGCCTCCCCAGGTATTCACTTTATAAATCCTAGTGAATGCTCCTTACATTTTCTGCATTTCATTTCAGGGACATCCGGTGAGGACATGGAAAGGGAAAATGCAACACTGCTGACAGAGTTTGTTCTCACAGGACTTCCATATCAACCAGAGTGGAAAACCCCCTTGTTCCTGGTGTTCTTGGTGATGTATCTCATCACCATCGTGGGGAACCTTGGTCTGATTGCTGTCATCTGGAATGACCCTCACCTCCATATCCCCATGTACTTATTCCTTGGGAGTTTAGCCTTTGTGGATGCTTGGATATCATCCACAGTGACCCCCAATATGTTGGTCAACTTCTTAGCCAAGAGCAAGATCATAACTCTTTCCGAATGCATGATACAATTTTTTTCCGTTGCATTTGGTGGAACCACAGAATGTTTTCTCTTGGCAGCAATGGCATATGATCGCTATGTAGCCATATGCAAACCTTTACTCTATCCAGTGATTATGACCAATAAACTGTGCATTCGACTACTAGTCTTATCATTTGTAGGTGGTTTTCTTCATGCCTTAATTCATGAAGTTTTTATGTTGAGATTAACTTTCTGTAATTCCAACATAATACATCACTTTTACTGTGATATTATACCATTGTTTATGATTTCCTGTACCGACCCTTCTATTAATATTTTAATGGTTTTTATTTTGTCTGGTTCAATTCAGGTTTTCACCATTGTGACAGTTCTTAACTCTTATGCAGTGGCTCTATTTACGATCTTCAAAAAGAAGTCTGCCAAAGGCATAAGGAAAGCCTTCTCCACCTGTGGAGCCCATCTCTTGTCTGTGTCTTTGTACTATGGTCCTCTTCTCTTCATGTATGTGCACCCAGCATCTCCAGAAACAGATGATCAAGATATGATGGACTCTTTATTTTACACTGTCATAATTCCTTTGTTAAATCCCATTATCTACAGCCTGAGAAACAAACAAGTCATAGACTCTTTTACAAAAACGTTAAAGAAAAATGTTTAGATCTTAAACTAATATTTCTTGTTTTCTTCGTAAAATGTGACAGAATTTTTCAGGTGAGATGTGGCTGTGTTTTATGAAATGTTCAAAGTTTTTTACAATTATGAATGTCTTAGCATTTTAATGACTTTATGTGTTATACCTAACAATCTACCTAAAATATTTATATATGTTTTTCAAAAGCATACAAGGAATTTTAATCAAGTGTTCATTTCACATTGGAATAATTAAAGGGGAAAATAAATGAAAACTTTTTATAGGTTTGTATGTTATTCATGTGTAATTATAAATGCATTAAGAGCTAAAATAGCGTAGGTCTTTTCAAAAGGACTTGAGTAGGATACATCATACAGGTGACAGATTTTTACGATCTGGAGACTCATTATCACATTTAGGTCCGTTGTAGTGGCAGGTTTGTGTTTGGTTTTGCAGATGAAAATTCCAGGAAAGGTGCTAACCCTCAAATGATCCTTTATTCCAGTGTATTGGGAAATAGTGAATTTCAATGCTAACAGATATTCAACTGACATATCATGTGGAGAAATAAATAGAACATGGGAATGCAACCGTAATAAAATCAGAAAGGAGTTACAACTGTGAAGGCAGGGCCAACTCTAAGAAGACCCTCTTTGCTCAGTTGTTTTTGTGAGTAATGAGAAGAGGCAAATTGCCTCTCTTTGCATATGATGCTTTAAGGACCTTAAAGGACTGCATTTTTATAATACTGGGCAACGTGAAAATCTTCACTAATTCAGAAAGCTAACAGATTAGATCAATCAAGTTAGTGTGGCTGTATAGAAGAAAAGTGGCAGAATGGGAAGTAGATAGTTCCAATCTTTCTGGAATTAAAAAGAAATTGAAGATAGTAAGAAAGGGAAATCAGTAATATCTTAACAGTTGTTGAAAAGTGTTACTGAGAATAAGTGGCTTTAAATATATATTACCAAAGATCAAGTAATGTTAAATGAAATCATGCCATAGAGACCAGTGGGTGGCTGGGAAAGACATGAAAATGAGCAACAGTTTGGATGTTTCGTGACTGAAAAGTCCTTACATTTTAACTTTCCTCCCACTACATTCTCTTTAAGTATAAGGAGTGATCCATTTTCTGGCCACCCCTGCCCTTCCTCTCTCAACACTGAAATTCCATACAAATTCCTGTGGATGCCACTCGGGCCCTTACCCTAAAACTACTCACCTATGTTTTCTGCAAAACTCTGGTCACTCATCTCCCCCATCTTGCTTATACTCTCTTATTTCCTTAACGTTGTTGCCAGACGATTCTTCATACATAGCACTCTGATCAAATCATGTCTTTGTTTAGTAAGTTTTAATGGATTGTCTTTGCTACCTGATTATATATATACACATATGTAATGTATGTGTCTAGAGCTGAATATTCACATATGAATATGTTTTGTTTGTTCGAGTGTATGTACAGATTGTATGATATACATACATACACATGCACACTTGTATGATATAATATGATATATACACACACATACACGTGTATATGTGTGTATATATCATATTATATACATATGTATTATATTATGTATGTATATTATAATATATGTATATATACAAAATATTATGAAGAAGCTGTTCAACCTTAAGGATTAAAATATACAAAATGTGTATATAATTTTTCCTTTATCTTAAAGTTTATTTATTTATTTTACATTCTAAGATGCTGAGGAGCAGCTGGGGGAGAGGGGGAGAGTGGAAGGGAGAAGAAAATAGGGTGGGAGAAGGAGGAAGGAGGGGGGCATGGTTGAGGTCCATGGCAACCCCCTCATTCCTGCAGAGGAGACAAGGGGGCTTCCAGTGGTAGCTTGGTTGTTGCTAGGCTGGATGCAGGTGTTGGGAGGTGTGGCTGAAGCTCTTGGTACCCCCCCACCCCAGATCAGGGGACTAAGGGGCTTCCAGTGGTGGTTTGGTGGTCACTGTTGGGCTGGTTGTGGGTTCTGAGGGGCATGGCTGAGGCCCTCTGCCCTCTCTGCTCCCTGGCTTACTAGCCCAGGGGCCTGTTGGTCCTTCTAAGTTTTATAGGTGTTCTTTGGTGATGTGAGAACTTTACTGGTTAATATCAGAACTTTGACCTGTGGGTATTTTGTTTTTTCTTTCAGTTCTGTGTTGGATTATTTGCTGTTCCCACAATTTAAACTCTGCACTGGAACTAATCTGTTGTCCATTAGTTACTTCTAAAATGGGGGAACTTCCTGTGGGGACCAGCACT